TCAGTTGGCAAGAGGCCAATGTCCATCGATTTTATTCCAAGCAACAACGCCCCAGAAGCGACTGTTTTAACCTCAGTAAGATTCTGAGCGAAGTCAGTGAGATAAAAAGAGCCAGTGAATGCCAAACAAAAGAAGAATCACTTTGCTTGACGGCAAGTTATAAAATACTGTGTCCGGGAACAAAAAGAAGTCAGGAAAAAAGACAAGATTGGACACTGCGAGAACCAGAAAACGCAAGGATAGTTCCGAAAAAAGTAATAACAGTGAAAAAGGAACAACGCTTGAAAAAACTTCTTAGGCGAAAATTAATCTCGTGTTACGACCTCGGGCCGGTCATGGAGCCTTTTCACGTAATTGAAGGAGAGAGACTGAACCGTTCAAATTCACCTGGTGAGGATAAGGTGAACGTGGGTTTTCTTCAACGCAAACAAGATATTTTTCCATTCGCTGTACCACATTTCCGATCACCTTTTTTTCCCATGTCGAGAAGTGAGATGGTGAAAGTTTCTCAGGTGTTGACAAAGTGTCAGCTGTTTCCATGGCAACTGAAAGACTTAGCTGAAGTCAAAAAGCAAAATGAGTTGGAAAATGCGGTGGTTACAAGTGTAGAATCAAAGCTTGCAGGATCTGATTTAAAGAGCGCGAATGATATCAACAACAAGACAACAGTTCCTATAACTCTTCCAGCGAATGTTTGCTAATGCCAAGAGAGGATCCTCTCTTGATAACGCGGCATTGTAATACTAACATTTCAATATTTTTATTTGCAAATTGAAATTCACAGATATGTTTGGAAATCTGTGAAATCTGTAATAACGCTTTTGTAGATCTCTGGTGCTCTCCTCAGACTTCCACTCTTTTGTCGTGTATTTCTTGCCCGCTCGCTACAATATGAACACGCGAGTGAAACTACAATGTAGCTTAAAAACTTTGTTTTTAACTTCGTATATTTATGCTTCGGGCGCTCTTAAGATCAATGAAGCAAATCTATACATTGTATATTCGTTTTTATCTACATTGTATCTATACATATTTTGTAAAACTCAAAAACACGTCTTTTTCTTTGTGTGTAGTTGTTGCTATTAGGTTGTTGTTGTTGTTTTTTTAATTATTTTTACATACAAACCACATAAAGAGTAGGGAACGTTAACCCCACTGATACGGACACTCAAGGGGCGATAGAAAGTGTCCGTATTAAAGGGGGTGTCCGTGTTAAGCGGGTCATTCAAAAAGACATCTTTTATTAGTACAAAATACTTAAGACATAAAAAAGGATATTAGCGTAGGCGGGGTTCGATTGCTTATAGATTAACTAGAGCTAAAAGCGAAGTTCTGGTTACTATATTTATAATTTGCTCACACAAAAATATAATCGTCGGTTAGGCCCGGTTCAGACGCCGAACTTTTTATGAGCCGAACCTAATACATTGAATTAAGTACATGAAAAGTTCGGCGTCTGAATCAGTTAGGAACGCCTGTTTCAATTTGGAACGGCTCAGCCGTTCTTTCCGCCTGGCCCGGCCGGGAATTTCGCCTTTAGAGCGACTTTGGAACGGCTTTGATTCAGACCCCGAAATTTTCATGTCCCGAACCTAATGCATAAATTATCTTAACGTATTTATAAGTAGTTTGACTGAAATGAGCATTTTTCTCCTTTTGAATTTAGTTCGGCGGGAATTAAGATCGGTATCTGAATCAATTCAGCCGGTCTAAATAATTTGGGTCTGCTTTAATTCGAATTAAGTTCGGCTCATGAAAAGTTCGGCGTCTGAACCGGGCCTTATGCTAAACGGCGACGGCATTGAGAACGGCAAAAAACAACAACAGCAACAACAGCTATAGGTCTAAGGGCCTGTTTACCTCCTGGAGGTGGGTACCCCAGACAGACCCCAGATAGGTGAGGTAACATGCGGCGGGTCACCCCACCTATCATGTAAAGATCATGGCCTCTGAGTCAATAGCCCATTCGGCCTTCGGCCTCACGGGCTATTGACTCAGAGCCCATTCGGGTTCGGGGAATAATTGTTAAATATTAGGTATGGCTCTTGCATTGGTGTGGTTTCTCGATCGCACGGAAGCTCATTTGGATAGCGCGAACTGGCCTGGGGCCGAGTTGTTCGAAGGCGGGTTAAGATTTTACACTAATCCTGGGTTATCTTGGTTAGTGCGAGTTGAAAGCTTAAAAACAATTTCAGTTTTACTTTTTTTTTTGTCTACAAGTTGGTGATTGAAAGCTCTAAATATAACAGAGAAAATTATTCGAGAAAATGCTTTTGAACACAAGAAAGAGAAACCCGGGTTAGGTTAAATTCAACTCCGGTCGGTTAAGCGCTAATCCTTCGAACCACTGGGCCCTGGTGATGAGACTGGGCTCATGATCTTTCTTTCTAAAAATAAATCTGGCGGGAATTTCCCGGAAATCTTTGTACCCAGACAGGGTTCTTAAAGTAAACACCCCCATCACTCTACTTCCTTTTTCGCTTGATCTTCGACATGGCGGCAGCAAACTGCTGGTCCGGACAAGCCGAGCTGGCGATCTGCTGCCTTGTTGACGAGACACGCGAGGGAAAAGAATTGCTAAGAAGAGATTTTCTCGGTCTTGGCTGCCTGGCGAAGTTTGAAAGTGTTGAGTTTCTTCGCCCGCTTGGAAAGCCTACTAGAAGTATAAATTCAAAGTTCTTCCTAGTTGCAAATAAACGAGCGGTTCTCACAAAAGATCATCTTATGGCGATCAAGAAGCCAAGAAAAGATAGAAAGAAGATTTCCGTTAAAGTTGTCGCCGAATTTCTGTCAATGGAGGATGGCAAAGTGCTCGAACGCAGAGATTTGAGTGAGTTGTGTAGTTCTTTCGAAAAGGACGTCTACGATCTAAATGGCGTTACCTACGTCGCTCTCACAAATCAGAAAGGAAGCAGCTTTTTGCGTTCCAGATGCTTGGAGGTATACAACTTCTCGGAAGGAAGCGAATCGTCAGTGTTGTGGGATCAACTTCAGTGCCTGGTTTTTAGCAAAGAAACGGTTTCGGAAACAAGACAACAAGAAAGGCCTGTCGCGTTCTCCACGTGAATCTACGATCTTTTTCACTGCGACCACGTCTTTGCTACTGGCGATGACTCACAGTTGGGCAATGTAAATGTTAGTACCAGCCGTAGTAGAAAGCGTTTTCGTAAAGAAGATGAATTTGCGAAAGGAGACGTACCACTAGGGGCAATAATAGCGACTAAAGATTGCCAGCTTGCAGGATTTTTGGATTTTTACAATAAACACCCTGTGCCACTGTTGTTTGGAAGCAACTTTCAAGAAACAGGTACTTAGTGACTTATAAATACAGTATTATTTAAATGCTCTGTGCCACATAGCTCGCTCGTTTGAATACCATCAATCAGTGATTGGTGCGTTCCGATCCGTCTATTGTCACAGTTAAACAGTCGTCTATTGTTAGTCAAATTGTCAGTTCTCCAGGTTGTTCTCTCGTGGTTAGTTTTGCTTGATCTCGTCAATAAGTCGCACCAATCACTGATTACGAGTCTTCATAGCCAATAACATCACGGCTTAACTGACAGACAACCAATAACATCGCAACATAATTGACCAATCAGATCAATAACCAGAGTATAATACCATCAACTGACGTGATACAACTCACTTTAACTCTGAAGATGACTACCGCACAGGTTGTCGAAACGTCAGTCACTGTCAACAACAACAGTCCTATTCAGGACTACGTTCACCCGGACGATCAAACTCAACCTTTTGAAATGACTCCTGGGTTCAAACCTTTCACAAAGAAAATACTGTGTCCAAAATTATCACAGGCTCATTTTCGGATGCCAAAAGGGTATAAATGGCTGAGAGACCACAGAGAAACAGCAAAGAAGCATGCTAAAAGACTGGTTAAAGAAAAAATGGAAGAGTTTCTCAAACTGGGAGAATATTAAATGAAAAAGGGGGGCCGGAAATATTTGCCTAAAACGGGAGGGTTGCAATCCTGACTTACATGTAAATTAGCGGTGTTTCACGCATGGGCGAGTGTAGCCCCACACCTAAGAAAATGTGGTAATCTACCCATTCAAGAAATGTTGTTATCTCTTCACTGTGGTTGTTTACTATTTACCACAAATTCCTGGAAATTCCTATTAGGATGTCAATGGTAAACATTTTTTTGGTTCGTTTCACTGGAAAATTCCTGGGACAAACGGAAATTCTGAAAAGGTAGTCCCGTTTTCCCGGTTGGGATGTTCTGCATGGAAATTCGTTTACCATTTACAGGCTTCTTGAGTTTGGTGCTAGTTTCATTTGTAACCAGAATACAGTCTAGTGCGGCACAGGGTTTATCATAACTGAATCTGTCAGTAGGCAAGATGAAGCAAATCCTGCATTCTGATTGGATATCCGAGCGGGCAAGATGGGCCAGGATTTCCTGTGTTGGTCCGGCAAGAAAAAGTTCACTTTTTGGCTATATAATAAATCCTTTGTGTTTTAACCGTAACTTTTTTTAACTTTTCCTTCCCTCCTCAATTAGCTGTAGGCTACTTTGCTGGCAAGGATCAATTATGGCTGGTATCAAAAGTGTTTTTTAATAAACTTGAACCATTAATGACCAAGCTTGTTTGGTTTAATGGCTGTATGTTGGTCTCATTCTTTTTTGACCAACATGAAGTTTAGGTCAATAAAATCGGCCAATATCCATCCATCTTGACCTCACACTTGGTCAATAATGCAATGTCTACAAAGTTGAATGTACAAAAGAAAAATTCTGAGCCTTGAACATGCGCATGCAAGTTTTGATAATGAGATTTGTATAGGTAATGGCATGATTTGTAGTGATATTTGGCATAAATACCACAAGTGATATTTCGGTATTGTTATATGTAATTTCACGAGCCGTTAGGCGAGTGAAAAATTTGCGACAATTTTGAAATATCACAAGTGGTATTATTTATGACAAATATCACATACAAATCATGCTATTATTTGTTTATACTACAACCCGCAAAAGGTTTGTAATTTTCAGATGCAGGTATTTCAAATTAAGATGAAATACCACTCCTCTAAGCCAATCAAATTGCAGAAATTTCTCTTGTAGTAGTATAAAAGACGGAATCCATCAGGAAATTGAGTAATTTCAATTTTCAGTGGACAAAAACCTTGTACCAGAATAATTTAAATAATATTGCTTTTTTTTACATTTTTCAAGGGCTATAGATGTTTAGTTATCTGTAATAACAGCAATGACTACTTCACACGGGAGCCCGGGAAAATAAATGTCAAATTTCACAAGAGTTGTGAAAACACAGGTAAAATTCTGAAAATTTCATGTGTAAGGTGTCGTTTTGTGGAATTTGACATTTATTTTCTCGGGCTCTCATAAGAAATTTTCTTTGGTGTCATTACAGATAACTAATTACATCTCCAGCCCTTGAAAATTAAATTGTTCTGGTACAAGGTTTTTGTCCACTGAAAATTAAAAATTACTCAATTTCATCATCGCTTCTATCTTAATATGTTAATCATGCTTTTTTTCTTAGGTGAGACAATGACTCAGGGGTGTGCTCCAGGGAGTGTTAGTCATACGTCCTATCAAAGTCAGCTAGCTGGGCTGCGGTCAAGAGCACTCCGTCTAGAGGATTATTTCAGTCAGCCTTCATTCATGTCACCGTCGGCAGTAAATGGGTCGGAAAATTCAGGCGCAGGTGAAATGGCTCTTCAGCAGCAAAATGTAGAAAGTTATGGAGAGAAAGACCTGCAGAACAACGAAAGCCAAGGTACAGGTTTAATTATGATAGTCTGATAATGGGGAGGTGGATGCAAACATCATTCTCACTGGCGTGGTCTACAAAGGGGACTGTTTTTATATGGTCCTTCATTACTTGACTTAAATTCCCCCTGTTGTTGCTACCCTCTAACAATTTCACTTGCCAAGCAGATTTTGTGTGGGGTAGCAGGTGTGTTGTCAGAAATAGGCTTCTAAAGATACAATAATTCATTTTTTAAGTAGATTATCATTATACAGTCACCAGCATACATTTACCAGTAAGTGATACATTAATGCAGAACCAAACATACAACAGCATTGTAAAGTAAAGTAAAACTTTATAGAATCTCCCAATCAGGGTTTTTCAGACCCAACGTACATAAGCATATAGACTTATAAGGTTACAGTTTGAAATACTGAATAAAATATCTTAAAACATTAAAATAATTTATAATAACAGATCAAAACATCAATAGTATAATTTGCTAAATACCAGCACATTATTTATAACATTCCCCAATGTCCTGGTGCTGAGAAGGTTGTCTCACCCTAATTATCTGACCTAAACCACCTAAACATGATGAGACAGTGTTTGTAATATGTTCATCAACGCTAAGGGTGGGGTCTACTTGAAGTCCCAGGTCTTGTACAGAGGCGGCTGTAGTAACTTCCTTTCCAAGTAGAGAGACGTGAAAGTCTGCAGGTGGTCTCTGTAGCATTTGTCGGGTTCTCAGCACCACCAACTTTGTCTTGTCTGCATGGTTGATCAAAAGACTATTATAGCGACTATTATATTATATGACCTCAGAAATGTTCAAATGGGATCGAAAAACTGATGACGATAGTTCAAACCAGTTCACGATGTCTGTAAGTACAGGCAAAATGCAAGGAAGTAAATCTTTAATCACTCACATAGTTATATTGTCATGGCCAGATGCCTTATTGGATGAAAAAGACGTTATAATCCTATGGATTTCATGAGCAGAGACTGCATGAAATTGGAATTTATCTGCTTCACATGGTAAATTTGTTTAGCAACAAGCTCTAGAATTAGTTCACAATCAAGGTATAGGTACACATACACTAGAATTTTTCCCTATTTTATTGTCTCATTTGCTTCACACAGGTTTTAAAATAACATGTCAATAGTCCTTGTTTTGAAGCAATAAATATATATCCCTGTTAAATATAACTTCTGACTGTTGTTTTTCAGGCCCTTTTCCAACTGAAAATTCTCACAGGTTCACTGATTCCTGCAGGCATATGGCAGATTATTTACCTCCCAAGGATGCAGGTATGGCTCCATTTAAAGTAATAGTTATATTTAAAGGTGTGATGCAAACTGTATTTTCATAAGTTCTAGGTAGCTTCTTATTGATGTCCAATATTTTTTTATTCCCTGGAAAAGTTGTTTAATGAGTTCCAGCATGAGCTACATGCTACCAGCTCAGACTCCCTACTTGGGACCATCATGCTCAGACATCTCATTTAAATGGTGTATTTTTTGTTTTTTTCTTTTTTGTTAAGTGATGTTTTATGTATGTTGTGGTTTAATATAGATTTTTATTTTCCCTTTGTTTTGGGTTGTGGTTACTGTAATATATAGTAATAATTAATTTCAAATACGCCAAAATAAAATTCCAAAAAAACATAACATATATTACAAAAAAGTAGCAGCACTGCATTTAATAAACAAGAAATATGTTTTGTTAGCAATACTCACCCCAGACAAAAGTATGTTGACAGAAGGCACAGTCAAGTCTGCTAGAGCACATTTCAAATAAATGTGCAGTTCCATTATCCACCCCCCTCATGAAATGAAACAGAAATTATGAGGGGAGTGGGGGTCCAAGAGGAGACAATTTCCAAGGGGGATGGGGTGGCTTCTCAAGGTATTTTTTGGGGGGATCTGGGGGAAGATTAGCCTCTTCTAACAAGTTTGAAAAGGAAGAGAGTAATTAAAGTTCTGAATCTAATGTATGCATGCAAAAGGAAGGATCAATGAGCTGGCTTAAGGAAGACAAGTTCCAAGGCAAAAAGATCACTCACTGTTATAAAGTTTGAAGGCAACTAGTTCTTTTACAGATAACATCATTTGTGTATTGTTAAACATATAAAGCCTCTGCATGTTTTTCAGTGGCTTTATTAGTGGCACAGTGTACTAGCAAAGAAAGACCTCTACACAATATGAAAGGATTGCTTTTCCAGATCCTTGGTAGGCATAAATGACAAGGCAAAAATGAAGAGGCCAGACATTAATGTTGGTGTCAAACACTGTATTATCCTGAACTGCAGTAATTGTTTCATGCCTGCAGTTACTTACATATGCGACCATTTATCAGTTGAAATGAAATTAAGTGAAGCGTTTTGATTGAAATATTCTTTCCAGGGGGTACCCAAACCTAGTGGTAAAATCATGGGAATTCCAGAGGGTAGGGAAGAGGGGTATGACAAGCATTTTTTTGTATGAACCCTGCATGTATACTTATCAGTGTTTTCTTGGTCATCAATAATTAGAGATCCAATAGTTGATCAGTTGCTTATTAAACATTTACTCAACATTTCAATGTTTTGAACATCATAACGTTTCTCACTGTTGATAATGATGTTTAATCATCAAAATGTCGAGTAGTGTTTTTAAGATTAATTTTTCTCATAAATAATTAAATAAATTTAAAATGGAGTTGTATGTACTTTCATAGGTAAAATTGAATCTGAGTTTCCAGTTGGGGCCGGGGGTGGTATTTACACTCCAGTGGAGTCACATATACCGGCAGGGAATCACATCAGTGCAAGTGGTGGTAGTGATTACAAAAGTAATCCAGGTGGCACCGCTCAACTGAGAGAAATCAAATACACTCCTGATGATAAAGTGGCTGCAGCAGCTGAAGATGACACAGGTACAGATTCAAGTGAAGTTCATGTGAATGGAAGAAGTAGTAATGAAGGCTTGCCACAAGAAGGAAACTGCTCTCAGGCTGGTGAGCAAGGTACAGGTTTAAACAGAAAAAAAGTATAATTACTTTAAAAAAGGTAATTAGTTGTAAAAAGGAGTTTTGTGTACTTTTATAGGTGAAACTGAACCAGAATTGCCAGTGGGGGCTGCAGGTGGTATTTGTCCCCCAGTGGATTCAGATTCACTGGCAGAGAGCCACATTAGTGTAAGTGGGGGTGATGGCAAAAGCAATCCAGGTGGCAACACTCAAACAGGAAAAATCAAACACAATCTTGATAATAAAGTGGCTGCAGCAGCAGAAAAGGACACAGATTTACATCCAAGTAAAGTTAAGACTGAAGAAGACTTAGCAGAAGAAGAAAACTCTTGGGCTGCAGAACAAGGTACAGGTTTAAACCGAGAAAAGAAAGGATTATTACTTTCAAAAAGATAATAATTTGTTTAAAAAGGAGTTGTGTGTACTTTCATAGGTGAAACTGGATCAGAATTGCCAGCTGGGGCCTCGGGTGGCATTTGTCCTCAAGTGAAGCCAGATTTAGTGGCAGAGTATCACATTAGTGCAGGTTGTGGTGTTAACAAAAGCGATCCAGGTGACACCGCTCTACCGCGTGTAATCAAACACACTCTTGATTATAAAGTGGCTGCAGCAGCAGAAAGTGACACAGGTAACAATGAAATGTTCCTTTTTGCGAAAAAACACCAGGCACCGGATGTTATTGTTTCATAGCCGCTGGTCTCATTAATAACAGTTTCTTTGTGACATGAGATGTTATACGCCACTGCGCATAACATTGTAACATGGAAGGCAGCAATTGTTTGCCGGCTGCTTTTGTAGTCTAAAAGTTTTTTATAGCGAGCATGATTCTTCAGGTCTAAAAAGGTGTTAGTCTTGACGTTCGCCGAAGTCCCTTCACCTAAAATGATCATTTATTCACCCTTTTGAGCGTGGTGACCCCCCGTTGTTATTGGAGTTATTGACTCATATTGGCTACAGGAAGAACTTGGAAAAAATTTGGATAATACAAGTTGTATTATTTGTGGTAAATAACAACGTCTCTGCATCTGGACCAACTCTGGAGTTGCAGCGCTTTGGGCAATATACCCTTCCACGGGTTTTTTCAACTTTTGACATGGACAAGTTACGGAAAATCCGTCAACACTGCTGGAAAGAGCGCCTTTAAATTAGTACGATTGTCAAGTTCGAAAGTCATTTGTTGAAAACTAATGACGAGATAGCTTCTCAAAGTCGGCATCCCCCCCCCCCCAAGCCCCCCACAAAAACGTCTGTAAATTTTCGCAACTTCGCGAAGCTATATCTTCGCTCGCTTTAGGCGTGTCACTTTCAAATTTGTCAATTTTACTAATTTTAATGCGCTCTTTCCAGTGGTGTCGACGGATTTTCCTTAACTGGTCCATGTCAAAATTTGAAAAAACCGTGGAAGGGTGTATTGAACTAGCAAGCCAACTGGGAGCTGGTCATCAAATTGGACCAGCTGCCAGTTGGCTTACTTGCTCAGTTGGTTAGAACGCGGCACCAGCATTGCAAAGGATAGGGTTTGAATCCTGCCAAGTCTAAATCATTTCAGGCTTTCGTTCCGCAACTTCATAGGTTGCGTATTAAACTCTGATGATCGTCAAGCAATTTAAGAACTATTTTAGTGAAAGATAAAGACTCAGACCAACAAAGAGGTTGAACACTCAGGATAACAGGCACCCAAGGTGAAAAAGAAGCACAGTGAACCTATGTGTATATTTTTCCCTTTACATGGTTATTGATTTTGCCAAGTTTAAAAATTTTCGCCTCTCTATTTTACTAAGGGCCCAATGATACCTCAGTTTCTACATTCTGTCCTAACCATGTGGGCTCAATTATTGATAGAGGTCTTTGCTGCCTTTACAAATGGGGTGGTTAATACTTACAGTATATTGTGAGAATGAATAATGAGTCTAAACTTTGTTAAAGAATGCTGTTATTGAGAGGGACAGTGTGTTTTAATTAAGATTCATTGCCGATATTGTACGTCTTTTTTCTCAGAATGTGTAGTCAATGAGGACCATTCATTGGAAGCAAAAGAAGTAGACAATACATCCTCTGAACTGATCCCTCCAGATAGGTTAGGCTGTCAACCAGTGACGCCCTTGACGGAGATTATCAGTGAAGGAGCAAGCAATACAGGTATAAAACTGACAAAGATACCCTCTGACAAAGCACAGCTTAGGGTTTCGGCAGATGGAATGAGTCGACCATCCACATTCATCAGCGAAGAGGCCATGACGAAAGAAGCAACCACCTTCTTACCTCCATCTCACAACCACAAAGACACCACTCCATCAAGCTTAGTTGATCCACCAGATGGATTAAGTGGTCAACCGTCTTCCCTCCCCAATGGGGTGGTGTCTGGAGGAGCAAGAAATATTGAAACTAAAGCGGCATCATTACCCTTTACCAACCAGAAGGAGACAATTCCGTCAAGGAGGTTTCCTCCAAGTGGAAGTGTTCAATCACAATTGCCCTCTCAGGCTCTGATTGTAGGAGCAAGTAGTGACGATCCAAAATCAGTGAAGTTGCCTTGTAAGAGTGACAAAGACAAGGGACCAACTAGGGCGCAACCAGATGGATTAAGCATTCAAGCATCATCAGACACGACTGACAGAGCAGGTAATGATGATGTAAAAGTGGTGGGAGTACCTACGAAGAATGACAGGACACAATCAGGGGCGACTGCACCGAGTGGATTGAGTTCTCAACCATCATCGGTTACTACTCCTGTACCTGAGAGAGCAAGTAATGTGGCATCTCAACAGGTGTCAACTTCGGGCCACAGGATCGCTGGAAAGAGCTTTAGTTGTCCTGGTGATTCTGCATTTGCAAAAAAGGAAGAATTTAGAGAACTAAAGAGGTTCAACAGTGAATTACTGCGGAAGCCAATGGAAAAGAAAAGAAAATTCAAGCCAAGTAAGGCCATTTTGCTCATCTAAGCTTGTTTCCCTTAAGTTGTCTCATGAAATGTACATTTCCTCCCCGCAGAAAAGATTAATTTTCCTTTGTTTAAACCCCCATTTGCACCGAATACTTCCCAAGTGATTCCAGCTACCAATTAGAGTGAAGGCCTAGAGAGCGAAGAGCGTAACGTAGCGAACAATAGGGACCTTATGAGAACGTCGAAAGAGCAATAGGTTCTATAAGCAAAACAACAATTCTGCACGTGCCGCACGGCCAGGAGGGTGACATTCCCTATTGACGTAGTTCAAAAAAGGTAGGGGGCCCTCACTTTGGTGTCGTTTACAGAGACTTCACGCATACATGACCGCCAGCCGAAAAAATAACTTTTCACCTTGATCTTATAGTTAAGTGTTTATCGATCAGTGTCTTCTCTACCTGGATGGGCTTGGATTTTTAGGGATGCCAGTCAACTAAATTCATTTGCAGTCTGACCCCTTTCGAATGTTTTCAAGTTCACAAAAGGAATGGTAGACATATGTAGAATAAAATGACCCAGATTCCGTTGTGCCACTCTGACTGATGTTACCACTAGGGTTTCATAAGGGCCCCTCTACTATTACACGACTGGTTTGCTATGACTACATTCCTGTGAGAGAATCCGGATGAAGTTACTTGAATTTTGCTTTGCACCAATATTTTACTTTGCGACAAACCCAACTTGGACCATTGGACAAACCTAACTTGGACCCTTAAAACAATCAGTCAATCACTGGTCATGTTCTCAGCACAAAGGGCTGATGTCGGTAGGTCGTTTGCAAGTCGAAATATGAATATTTCTTTTAAGTTCAGTGGTCTCAGAAATCCTTTGATTCCATATTGACCATATTCAGTGGACTAAGTCTAAATCTGAGTACATCAGATTCAGAATCTTCATTTCTTTTAAGATGATCAGCGTCAGTTTATTTGTTGTCATGATTGTATAATTTATGGATATTCAACATTGTCTCTTTTCCCAAAAAATTGCAGCCGCGACTATTTCAGGTTTTTCATTCCAGTTGTAGACTGCGCTCAACTTTATGCTCTTTAAATCCTAACAAGTTCTTATATAATGAATGTTAAAATGCAAAGGAACTTAAATTGTGTACTTTACGAGAATAAGAAATGCAGTGATGCAGGAAATATTAGTGAACTTTTTTGAGTGATGCACGTCAACCGGAAGTGGTCTTTTTTCATTCTTAAGTGGTATTTTTGCCCAAATGTTTGGACAAATCGTCTCTATAATAAGAAAGATACTGAGAAATACAAAAACTAATTTGGCAGCGTCAATTTATTTTAAAATGAAAAAGACCTCACTTCCGGTTGACATTCGATGCTCAAAAACATCTTTGCTTAAGCGCTCCATTTTTTATTGGAATTCTACAGGTGACCCACTGGCAAAGACCATCTTGGGTTGCCTGGATCTTTTAGAGGGGCTCTCCAGATGTCTTGATAAAGAGTACAAGTATGGATCCTGCAAGTGCTGGAAGCACATTGCCGAGCATTTTGGAATTGAAGAACAAGAGTATCAAAAATTTAACTGCAGCCAGGTTCACAGTCCTACAGAGGTTATGTTTGAATACTTGAAGGCCCAAAATCCTGAGATTACCATTGGTGATATCAAAGATGGATTACATTCAATTGCTAGAGAAGATGTCGTCCGTGTTCTTGTGGAATATGAACAAAGTGAGTAGAGTCTCTTGATTGGTGACTGATGATTAATTACTAAAATACTAAATCTTGCTGCTATGCCGATGTTCCTCATAAGGAGACCATTATGTTTTCTGCTTATCGAGCACTATGCATTTAAGTGAAGTATGCAGAATTTTATGTTGACTATTTCAAGTAGAGTAACAACACATACCTCAAGCTATTTTAGTGTTTGTATGCTTTAATCTGTAATCTTCAGATTCTGTCGTCATTTGGAACCTTCAGCATAGAGAAGAGAAGTGTGACGTCGCAAAATTTGAATTTGTAATGGTAACAGGACTGAGTGGAGTCCAATTCGGTCTGTAATCATACGAGTGATTAACAAAATCGGACGACCGCGTAGCGGGAGTCCGATTTGTTTAATCACGTGTATGATTACAGACCGAATTGGACGACACGAAGTTCTGTTACCAATTAATCATAACTTTAACAAAATTTGTAACATAAGAGGCTATTTTTAAAATCAAAACACAAGAAATTCGAAATTTTGTTTTGCTAGAAGTGAAAAAAAAAACCATTTAAGGGCGCGCGTGATGGCGCGTACTGTCCAATTACTTAGGCATGACGCGTACTGTCCTATTAAACTATCCAATTAAGGCTGAAATCAGGGCAGTTGATAGCCAATCAGATTTGACAATTTCATCTCTCCACCAATTTGCACAAACAGACTCATTTTTAGCAAGTGGACATTTTTCATATTGTTTTCTTTTTTTTTTTACCTGGCAACCTATGCCATAATTTTACAAATTTAGTTCTTGTGACGTCATCAGTTCTCTTCTCTACTGTCGCGTTCTGTTTGAACTCATTTGACTCTGGCAGTTATTTAGGCTCATACTTGGTGTAAAAACCTGTGAAACTCGCGAGTGATGTAAAACAATTAATACAAAGAAGCCACTGAGAGAGCCAAGGGAAATAATAGCTAGAAAACAAAGAAAAACTTCACAGGTTTTTACACCGAGGATGACCCGTTATTTGTGTGTTTTCAGCTTACGACACGGTAGATAATGGTACCCCTGTGTGCAGTTTGTTTGACACTGATCCAGACATCATTGGAGAGATAGCCTTCTTAATGGACATGCAGAAGATCGGTCTAAAAAAATGGTCACATCTGGCTTCATCACTGAAAATACCACGGGCAGACTTTAAAACCTTTGAGACTTGCAATACTGAGTATCCCGCAGCAGAAACGCTGTTTAAACTTGTAAAAATCCACTTTCCTCGAACAACTGTTGGGACATTGATAACTCATTTAAAGACAATAAAAAGACGAGATGTGATAACTGCCATCAGGGAATGTACTGAAGGTAATAATAACATTTGAATTTAACCCAACAGGGATGTATTCCGTGTTCTGATTGGCTACGCTGTCTGAGGGAATCCTGTATAGTGTTTGACTACTCAAGTGTGCCCGCTCGTGCTGTACCGTGTCGTCCCAAAGGAAAAGATTTTGTCTTTTTGACATGTAATAAATCCTTTATGGACCAAGCTTGTTTGGTCAAGATGGAGCTTGTCCAAATAAGTTTTGAATGATGGAAAACTTAGCCAATACCCAGCTATCTTGACCTTACGCTCGGTCAGAATTGCATATTTAATGCAGGTCACTGATGATGCTGATACCCGATCAAGCACAGCTGTACAAAAACTTCAACAACAGAGTGAAAACTTTACGAATTAATATGTAAATTTATGAATTAATTTTAATATTGCTGCTAGGAGAACACAATATAAAGTGTTTCTGTTATAGTTACAGAAGATTACTTGCTGAAAAACTTGATGGAAGAATTGGACGTGATGGAGAACGTTTGTGAACTCTTGAACCAGAAGCAACGTACAAACAGAGTGAAGAACTGGAGGCACCTTGGAGGACTATTTAACTTTGAACAGGAGACTCTGGATGACCTTTCACCGTCACAAGAAGAAAACGTCTCCCCTACAGAAGCCCTAATTCAGCATCTTGGCGGATTATATCCTGACTCGACATTAGAGGAACTAATTTTTGCCATACATTTGATTGACAGGGATGATGCCCTTGATGTGCTTGACGTCTATCTTGAAGGTGATTGAAAGCAACTACTGAAAAATAATAGTGTTTTGAATGTACAAAAGTCGTGCCATTAGTAATGATTTACATGAATGGTATGTGTTACGGTGAAACCAATGAGTCCTTTCAGGGCTCCTGGTCCTTTAATTCTTGCAAAAAATGCCATTTGATCTAGCTTCTTAAGCCGTTTTGTTAACTAGAGACCACCTCGACAAAAGGATGCAAAGCTATTCAAGGTTTTAAATTAAAAAGAAGAACTATTCCTGGTTTCCTCTCCAGTGCATGGCACAGCTTGTATTTTTGCGCATATGTGCACAAAGTAAACGTTTTCTTCTATTTTCCTTTCTTTTCACTCTCTTCGGGTTCTCTGTGCAATTCTCGATATGCCCAGGATCGATCTTGCTAGCAAATTGTTTGGCAATTTAAGCAATTCACAAGAAGATTTTGTGAGAAACTCACTTGCAAATATCGCAAGAATAACAAGAATAACAAATTTGACAAAATTCTAGACTTTGAAAGAGAAAAAGCGAGAAAGGGCCCCGAGAAGTCCGCATATTTCGCAAAGATCGCAGAAGTAACAAGAATTTTTCAAAAAAATGATTCACAAGAAAACTTTGGGAGACAATCACTTCAGGTTCTTTGTGCCATTCTCGATATGTCCAGGATCGATCTTGCTAGCAAATTGTTTTCGCAATTTTGGCGAAAAAAATGATTCACAAGAAAATTTTGTGAGACACTCACTTGCAAATATCGCAAAAGTAGTAAGAATAACAAATTTAACAAAATTCTAGACTAAGAAAGAGAAAAGGCCAAGAAGAGCCCCGAGAAGTCCGCAAATTTCTCAAAGATCGCAAATGGAACAATAATTTTTCTTGCTATGTAAAAAGACCGAGTAACAAATATCGAAAGAATAGCAAGAATAACAAATTAAAAAAATTCTAGACTTAGAAAAAGAAAAGGCCAAGAAGGGCTTCGAGAAGTCAGCAAATTTCGCAAAAACGCAAGAGTAACAAGAATTTTTATTGCAACCACAACAACAACCTAAATTCAGGGCTCGACGTTGCGACCCGTGGGGTCGCCAATGCGACCAGCTTTTACTCAGTGGCGACTAAATTTTCACGCCTGGTCGCCAACCTGGCCCCCAAGATAGGTGATTTTCTTCTTTGGATAAACGTACACTAATCATAATTTGTTATCCTTTACACAACCAACGGATAGCTAACGGTTTTTCTAACGCTCTAACGTTTTGCCCAAACGCTTTAACGGTTGGTCTAAACGTTTTAACGATTTGTCTAAAGGCTTTAACGATTTCTTCCAACACTCTAATCTACGTTTACTTGAACGAGGATTGTGAAATGAATGAATTCGACGGAAGACTTATCGACTTTCGGACAAATCGATTGCAATTCTCAAAAGATCGTCCCGTGTTTCTCCGGGAATGACTTTTAGCGCATCGATATTTAAAACAATTTCTTTATGTCGAACATGTATCTCGATTGCGGACTCGATAGCAGATTAGTCTGATAAAAGCTCAAGCTGATCGAAGCTAATCGAGAGCGAACGGCGCTTACTTCTCGAGCTTCGCAATTCTTGTAAACAACTTTACGCAAATTTCTGTTGAGCTTGACGACGCAAATAAAAGCTCTGCCGTATTTTATTGACTTCTAATGAAGTAAAGTTGAAGTCATGCTGTTTGTCTAATAGACTTCTCGCGAAATCAACTTCTTTGCCCGAAAACATTAGCAACGTTTCCTCTTTCTGGTCTTTCTGGAGACTTTTGATCACGTGTTTGGCAACCGCGCAATAGATGAAGTTTCACCGATGTTGAGTTCTGAACATGCAAATACATAGGACGCAAAACAAATTTTGCAGATTTTGTTCTTTCTTAACCCAAATAAGTTTTTTTGTGATCCCTAAATTTTGTTTTTTTAATTTGTATTCCATTTCCTGAACCTTAAGCTTGAATACCTGTTTGAGGAGATTTACGCTTGCGCGAGGATTCATTTTACAGAACACCGACTGTTAATCGAGCGTCAGCGAAAACCATTCGACAGAAAGTTCAAAGGAAGTCTAAACCATTCTTTTCTGTTAAGGCTAAGTTAAAGATGTTAAGTCTATTTTATCCCATTGGTTCTTAAATATAATTTTTGGCGACTAGAATACTTGTTCTGGCGACCAAAAATGAAAACTTGGGGGCCAGTTGGCCCCAAGATTTTTTTCTGAAAGTCGAGCACTGAAATTGTTCAATTGATTAAGTAATTCTTCCTTTTTAAGGTGTAATTAACAACAATCGCTACCATTGTATTGTTATGTTTGTGCCAATCCATTTATTTTAAATAACAATTGATAAAATTCTTGATAATATGTGTGCTTCGTCCTATTACTCTTGAATCATCAACAACATTAATTTAACGGAAATTGCCAAAATTACCATTCTTTTTGCTTTGTTATGTAATTAGCGACGCTTCAATTACGCGTTCTCCCATTACCAAAATAGGCCGTGTGAAGAGAAGAATTTCATGAATTTGCCTCGTTCTTTGAGCCAAGTTCGGGTCGCCTGCGACATTTGTTATTCTTGCTATTTTTGCCATATTTGTTACTCAGTCTTTTTATATAGCACGAAAACTTCTTGTTACTTTTGCGATTTTTGCGAAATTTGCGGACTTCTCGGGGCCCTTCTTAGCCTTTTCTCTTTCTAAGGGCCTGTTTACGTGGCGGTGGAGGACCCCAGACAGATGAGGTAACATCTGGTCGGTCATCCCACCTATCATGTAAACGTGATCAAATTAAAATGAGAGATTATATGGACAGGCGGGTTACCTCACCTACCTGGGGTCCCCCACCTCAATCTAAATAGGCCCTAAGTCTAGAATTTTGTTAAATTTGTTATTCTTGCTATTTTTGCAATATTTGCAAGTGAGTGTCTCACAAAATTTTATTGTGAATCATTTTTCGGCAAAAATTGCGATGAAAAAATATTTTTGCTAACAAGATCGATCCTGGACATATCTCTCATCTTTGTACTCGATTTACATTCTTTGCAGTTAAGAATTTAAAGGTTGTTTTTCCTACCTGTATGTGTGAATTACTGAATATCATGTTCCAAGACTTAAATTTCAATGTTTTTTTTCTTCTTTGTGTCTAGATGGATGCATTGCACATCTGTTAACATTGTGCGACTGCAAAAGGTGTAAGAAGACCAGAGGGCAAGGGAAAGGCCACGCGGATGGGCTTTAGCTATTGGAAAGCCAGTACATTGGTACTGTGGATTTTCTGTTGCAACAAACTGGATATGTTTCACAGCATGAGTTTGAGGTTCGTACTGTCAATACAGATTGAGTTTTGCGTTTTTTTTTTAGTTAAAGCAAAACAGAGGTTCTGTTACTAACAGTACGGACCGACAAACGAGGTTAGTGAGATGTTTATCCCATTTCGAAGAACGGTTTGAAGTACATTTGGCCTGAATATACAATACTGGGCTGTGCAGTAGAACGCGGGCTCACTAAATTGACCAAACATAAACCTGCTACTGGCTGAAAAATATCAAAGGACATCAGTTTTTTAGAAGGCTGATAAAGGCAGTATCCGCCTGTTGTGAAAGATGTTTTTTTTTATCAGCATTTATCCTTGTACTATTAAACAATACCAGTGGATGGCAGTATCTACAGTCTGAAAATTAGGATGCATACAAGGAGTTATTTTGAAGGTACATATAAACAGGAAAAAAGACGGAAAGATTTGGAAAAAAAAAGAAAAAATATATAAATTCCTCAAATTGGGTCGAGAAATTGTCGCTGTATGTATAGAGTGGTAGTTCACTTGTTTACTCACTCGGAGTATGTGATGGACGAACATTTAGCCCAAGCTCCTATTACATTTTGAAACAAAATTTTATAAGGCGGAAATAGTTTAACGTATGCCCAACATAAAGCTTAATACATTTAATGTATTTAGGAGTAAAACTCGTGCATAGTTATTTAGGTTGGCTTAAAAGGCCAGTTTTAATTTTTAATAGTATCAATTAAGTCGTTTTAAAAGACTATAAAATCATAACTGGTAACAAAGGTAATAAGGGCAAACAAGAGGCTTTAGAGTTATCCATAATCTTTTGGAAATGTTTTCATTGGAATGGTTAAACCATTGCATTTCATTCAGTCTCAAAAGTTAGAACTAAATACTAAACGATAAGTACCGTGTGAAAGTACCTCTGAAGAGGTTTCACTTGACTGGTCACACTTTACCATTTTATCTAAAGCCATATGAATAGAAATCTAACTGGATGTTTGAAACTTCACTCGTCCAAATCCTTGTTTCATGTCCAAACTAGACGCGCAAACATTGCTTTTCCTCTCCCGTTAACTGAGCAGTTAGATTTGTTTCATTGTTGAAATTTTGGTAAGTCATTTTACATCATTTTTGTTTCGATGATCCTACGATATATATAGAATTTAAGTTACGGGTAAGCGTTTCGGTGGTCAATAACGGTAGTGTGACTTTTTATTGGTTAGGAATAAGATTGGAATAAATGAATGGAAACAATCAACGTGAGCGGTTACCACGAGTCAAAAGTTGGCAAGTTATATTAATGAAACTACTATTTAAAACCGAGTAAATAGTTAGTTGAAGCTATTAAGTTAGATCCGTTCAACTTTAAACGGTAAGGTTGTCATGTTTAAATTTAAATTCTTGATGAGCTTGAAACTGAAAAAAAAGGAAGTAAATTGGACGATTTACGTAATCGTCCTATGGAAACTGTTCATACGCCAAGACCTTACAGTAACGATATATTTGTCTAGTATATGATTTATGATCCCCCTTTTTGGGGTCCACACACGATTAAAAAAAAAGAAAAGCTTGCATTTTCTGAGTCTCGCCTCTAAACCAAGCGAGACTAAATACTGCCGAGGGTAAATGACGGAATTTATTATTATTATTGTCTCGCAGTGTAAAACTTTGGAATGCTGTCCACATTATGAGTAGTACAGGTGTCATAACGTAACCTACACCACTTAGGGGCACCCAA